TCATGACCACCTTCGTTGTCGTGGTTGTCATCTTTTGAGTCGTGGTCGTCATCTTTTGAGTCGTGCGTGTCATCATTTTTATCGTTGTGGACAGGGTCCTCTGGGTCATCTAATTCTTCCGATGAATCGTGGTCAATAATGACATCGACATTCATTGTATAAAGTATTGAGTTTAAAGCCGCATCTACAATCATATCACCGATAGTACTACTTAATACGGAACCTGATACAGGTATATTTCCATTTCTATTCCCCATATTGTTCTTATTGCCATTGCCACCATTCATGCTTTTATCATCTATATTTCTCTTTCCGTTTCTATCGCCATTCCCGTTTCTTTCATTTCCATATCCCTTATCGCCATTTCCATTTCTCTTATCGCCATTTCCATTTCTCTTGTCGTCATTTCCATTTCTCTCATGGCCATTTCCGTTTCTCTTGTCCCCATTTCCATTTCTCTTATCGTCATTTCCGTTTCTCTTGTCGTCATTTCCGTTTCTATTGTCTCCATTGCCGTTTCTCTTGTCGCCATTTCCATTTCTCTTGTCGTCATTTCCGTTTCTCTTGTCGTCATTTCCGTTTCTCTTGTCGTCATTTCCATTTCTCTGGTCTCCATCGCAGTTTCTCTTGTCGCCATTTCCATTTCTCTTGTCGTCATTTCCATTTCTCTCATGGCCATTTCCGTTTCTCTTGTCCCCATTTCCATTTCTCTTATCGTCATTTCCGTTTCTCTTGTCGTCATTTCCGTTTCTATTGTCTCCATTGCCGTTTCTCTTGTCCCCATTTCCATTTCTCTTGTCGTCATTTCCGTTCCTCTTGTCGTCATTTCCGTTTCTATTGTCTCCATTGCCGTTTCTCTTGTCTCCATTTCCATTTCTCTTGTCGTCATTTCCGTTTCTCTTGTCGTCATTTCCGTTCCTCTTGTCGTCATTTCCGTTTCTATTGTCTCCATTGCCGTTTCTCTTGTCTCCATTTCCATTTCTCTTGTCGTCATTTCCGTTTCTCTTGTCGTCATTTCCGTTTCTCTTGTCGTCATTTCCATTTCTCTGGTCTCCATTGCCGTTTCTCTTGTCGCCATTTCCATTTCTCTTGTCGTCATTTCCATTTCTTTTGTCGTCATTTCCGTTTCTCTTGTCGTCATTTCTGTCGTCGCCTTTATTCTTTCCAAAGTCATCATTATTTTTGGCATTACCGAGATTCGGATTATTGAATTTCCGACTTCTTGAGTCAACCACTGGTCTTCTTCTAACAGCATTATATTTATCACGGTTACTATTATGTCCACCTTCATCATGACCCCCTTTGTTACCTGAAAGGTTCTTTCGTGAATCACGATGATCTCTTCCTCCATTACCATTATCCTTCCTTCCATCGCCATTATTTCTTTTGTCGCCATTATGTCCTCTATCACCATTTCCATTGTCAATACTTCCTTTGTCGTCATTATACCCTGTATCGCCATTCTTATCGCCTTTATGTCCCCCTTCGCCATTCCTATCGCGATTATATCCTCTATCGACATTCCTATGGCGATTATATCCTCTATCGACATTCCTATCGCGATTATATCCTCCTTCGCCATTCCTATCGCGATTATATCCTCCTTCGCCATTCCTATCGCGATTATATCCTCCTTCGCCATTCCTATCGCGATTATATCCTCCTTCGCCATTCCTATCGCGATTATATCCTTCGCCATTCCTATCGCGATTATATCCTCCTTCGCCATTCCTATCGCGATTATATCCTCCTTCACTATTCCTATCGCGATGATATCCTCTATCATTATTCCTATCGCGATTATATCCTCCTTCGGCATTTATATCGCGATTATATCCTCCTTCGGCATTTCTATCGCGATTATATCCTCTGTCACCATTCATCCCATTTTCCATACGATAATAGCTTCCTCTTGACATCATACGACCTTGACTTCTTCTTCTGCTACCATAACCATTATAATCATCATTTCTTGGTCCTCTGTTTCTGTTAATTGAGACCCAATCTCCATTTGACGAAACCTTCCGAGATTTTTGGGCTTCAATGTAACAAAGCTTCAAGGCCAATATTGTGGAAATGAGAAAAAGCAGATACCCTTTCATAGTGAGTGTTAGTATGTTAAGGACATGTCTCTCATCTCAAATCCACACAAGCTTTTGAACGAGAATTTAAAGTTTCGACACACAGCATTATGTAAAAATTCAAATGTATAAATTTTTCCGTGTTACTATAAATTACTTGACAGTTTATGTCTGCCAACTGAAATATTGTGAATTTTTATTACAAATTTGTTGTCAGGTTAACATTAGCACCTAAACGGGAAACAACCTTGAAATGAAATGAAGTTTTACGTCATATGGTACTGATCACTGAAATTGAGTGTGCAATTATTGATTTTATCTGGAAAATCATCATTAGCCTACTATATTTACCATTTCTAAACGTAGGATATTTTTAACGTTTATTGGCCTTGATTTATTATCTGATCTGAATTACTTAAATTTGTCATTTTTGCATTTGCAAACTGCACCACTTACAACGATGTTTTTAAAGATCCGAAGGTATTACCTCAGCCTATGCCAAATCGGCGTCCCCTAATACAACTAATAAAAATGGTGCTAAATCCTAAGACAATCTAAAATTGCTTAAATTTTTTGCTTTAAGTGATGATGTTATCCCTTTAATGTTTCAAGATTCGGAAACTAAACTTCAAGGCAGATGTCAATACATCACAATGTCGTAATGAAACGTATGAAGAAAATGTTTTGTGAAAAATGAATTTCATATTCGTGTCATATTTAATAAAATGATTATATAAAATATGATGGCAGGTATGGCATTTTTATTAGATTTTCGTTGGGACCCAAAAGATTAACATTGCGTAATAATGCATTTCCAATAAATAAAGGTAGTAATACCTGACAGTCGATTCCATTGCTAAAATGTTGAGTATCACTGTATTGGGATATATTTGGGGTGTATGAGCGAAGTAATCGAACAAGATCGGTAGGGATTGTTATAAAAGGACTTGTTGTCGTAGGTATATGTTCAGCAGAAGTGAAGTTGTGCAACATATTGTTAATGTACCAGGTGCCAAATGTTCGTGTTATTTTAATATATCAAATTTCGTATTTGGTTCCCAAGCTAATCCAGATATGCCAACTGTACACAATTTTGCTGTGGGAATGTACTTGTCAATAGTCACTCCTTGCGATTCATTCATCAGAGTTACGTATAAGACATGGATTTAAAAACAACGACTGTTTAATACAAGTATATTTTAAATGCAATGATAATATTACTAAAGGGGCCCCTATACTATAGCACCTGTTGAGTATAGTTTGGAATAAGAATAGCGGTCACAAGTTTTGAACTCAACTCTCAGGCAACTGACTTGTGATTTGTGTTCGAAACTCATGACCACTCACTTTCAAAATTCGAAACCATAAGCAACTGGTAATTGCTATGGTGTGAGGGCACCATAACACCAATAGACTTAAAAATCCAAGTATGGTTTAATAATGGGGCCAGGTTCTGATATGGTTATATAAGGCAGTACCAGGACAATCAGTAGATCCCATATCACGATGTCCTCTCAATACATAGCTGCTGGAGATTTTACCCATAGAAACACCACAGGCAATCATGTTCTTGACTGTAGAGAGAGCTGCACTGTTGGGTAAATGGGTCATGAAGTTTCCAATCATGCAGAATCCTGAAAATGGTATTCTTTAATTTTAAGACGTAAGACACCTTATTGTATTCTCAGTTACAATGCATCATAGTTAATAAGAATTTAAATCATCTGCGAGTCAAATGCACTTGGTTTGGAATTATGGTACTAAAAAGCCATTCACAGTTGATCAGTTGTATACTTTGTAGAGACCACTTACCAAGACCTACTGAGTTGTACCCCTTTGTGTGTGCGCCGATTCTATCCCATCCTCGTCCTTCATAGGCATTACCATCTTCACCAACCAGGAAACTGTAACCAATATCACTCCAACCTATAGAAGTATACAAATTTATGAAGCTTTCAATATAGAATCTAAAGTAATATAACAGATATCGCGGATGTAATTAAATGAGCTAAAGCGATCCCATCAGCATAGTTATGTAGCTTAAAGCGTTAATGATAGCTTGGTCCGGTCTGGACTGCGTATATGCAACAAAATCAGTACGTATACGTTTAATGTACTGCTACTCTGCATTTAAATAGTTCACAGCCATTCACCTACCATGTGTGTTCATGTGATAATTTTGGTAACTTCTGACAATAGCAGAGCAAGAAGACTTGTCATGACAAGCTCCACTCTCTCCATGATGGATGAACGCATATTTAACTGGATGAGAAAGGTAGGATTTATGGGTTGGTGCTCTAGCTCCCCATTCTGATCTACTGACAATATTAGGACATGCTCCGACGGCTGAAAAAAGGTATAACATGTGAAGACAATTTTAAATCAGAACAATTAAAGCTGTGCTAATCAAACTTTTCCTCAAACTCAAGAAAATATGATTTAAAACAGTTATCCCTTCTAGCGAAATAGTTAACTTAAATAGATTTTTTTTTCACATTTAGAGATGTTTCAGATATGGTTGTCAATTATTTGCATCTGTATTAGTGTCCATTGGATGGCAAACGTTATATTTCACATATGTTAGAAAAAAAGCTTTTTTTATTTCATTATTCTTCTGAGTAATACATTTTTAAAAATAATTCTTACCATAGCCGATAGCTAGACATAATAGAAATGCTGTGTACATGTTGACAGATTAGGAGGAACTGAAAAATGTGCTAGATTTCTTTCTGATTTTTTGTTCTAGAACTCATATCTTATCAATTTTTAACACGGATCTTAATTCGGTCGACTTATATTGCGACTAGTCTTTTGTTAAATACAGTCACGACAGATTTTAAGAGTGCTTCCTTTTAAGACTGAAAATAATGTGTGATCAAAACAAAGACTACCTGATTACAGTTGTTGATACTCGTCTTAAAAATGGCATTATTTCTTTAAAAATATCTCAAACTAGCACTTTCTTTTCATATTTCTATAAATGTCTGTCCCTTCAATCGTGACGAAATATAGGCAGAAGTAACTGATTGATGATGATCCTTATAAAGATGTTTTTGTCAGCAGTATTTGACCATGGCCTCCCCTGAGGCTTGTGAATGTCTTATTTTTAAGTGGAAATTAAGCCCTCTAAATTAAACTTAGTCTCAGGCCGTCTGAAATCCATTGGTTTCTAGGAACCTCAAGTAGCCCAAAGACCCCGGCCAGAAGGGGCTTGCATGAATTTTGCCATTGAATTTAATAGATACTTGTTTTTACTTTTTATTTTCATTCAACCAATACATTGTGTAAAATAATAAATGATCGAATTGTGGGATCACAATTTTACCACCCATGAGCATTGACAAGACGTTGTGCCCGGGCTATGACGTCATTACTGTAATCATCATTCGTGGTTCCAGCATCCATTCCAGCTATAGTTTGAACATTACCTACTCCAGCATTGTAAGCCGATACTCCGCCTGAAATACAACATCATTAGAGATTAGAGAAGTTTGTGTGAGCTACTTCGATTTACTTTTGTGTTGAGCAATACTGTCAGTACAGATTAAAATCGTGATAATCAAATGACCATGAGAACCCCCATTGACAACAAATTTAACTGGCATCCGAGTATAGGAATATTTGCCCAGTCATTAAAGGTTCTTAAACGCACTCAACTTGTAGCACATTAAGCCTCATGCAAACAACTAAAGATCATCATTCTGCTTGAAGTTGCTGCAAACAAGAAGTAAACGGTATGTGCCATAAATAATCATGATCGTACTTAATAAGAGTTACTAACCCTTTAATTGATAATGAGCTGGCCAGGAGGGGTGTTTGGTTTTCATCTGATTAACATAATTTAGTAATATTATATCTGTCAGCTGATTGATATGCTCGCAGCTATCCCAAGGATATTTCTTACAAATATCTCCTAGTCCGGATGCTCCACCATCGCACTGCAAGAGCAACAACAAAGGGTTTTACATTGTATCAATTAATGTCGATGCATATTTGGGAATTCATTTGCTGAAGTATCAATCAATGCGAATGTTTTCTCGGTTGAAGCTGTCAACTGTAAATATTCACTCAATTCGTTGATCTGTTTTTCAGGTATTCGTATCACATTTTGGGACTGTTGGGCAAAGTTGACCGTATCTTCAGCATTCTCCTATGTAGGTATTTATGACGATATCAGCAATATGTGCAATATATTATCTATAGTCCCCCAACTCAATAGACTCAAGAAATATAAAAGACAATAAAAACTAAAAGATATTCCATTAGCTTAACTGTGATTATTACCCTTCTCATCTTCTTGAAATGTGAATTGAGAAATTTATCATTTTCCTTCTTTTGCTTTTCTTCAAGAACAAAATGCTATTGTGAAGCAGTTCAAAGACATACCTGCATTATTCCATATGCTCTTCCACCATCTCCATAGCCGTTGGTGCTGTACAACAGTTTACCACCTCTTGTTTCACGACTGGCAATAGCAGCAATCACCGCCGGGTGGATACCTAATTTAGAGAGACATTAAAGCTACAAGAAATGTTTTATTTCGTTTTGGGAGATTAAGAAACCTTTTCTCATTAGAATACGAAAACTGTCTATAAAGTCAAGCGATGGACAGAGTGTGCGTGGCCATTACTACATCATTTCAAATGAATGATTCGCTTTTAGTCTGCGATATCAGCATCTGCTAGAAGCTGACGTTAACTAGTCATCTACCAACATTCCCACCAGCTGCCAATGATAGTCAATGAGGACAATATGGTACATAGTTCTAATGGATGAAAATGAAACTATTGAGTGAACTTACAGTGGTTTTTCCCAGCTTGAACGTAACAATCTTTACGTTTATTTAGTTCAGCTAAATCATTATCCACCAGTTTGTTAGACGCACGTACACCTAACCATAAAACACAAGGAAAATATGAAAATACATAACACAAAGTGAAATTATCAAATCAACTATAGTCCGCCCAACCAAGACAATATCTTTAAGATTATAAAACACATTTTCCAATTAACAACTCATATTATTTCTTACATTTAAGATTTAACTTCAGAAGTCATTGAATCTCTCCAAAAATAAAAAATACTATACAATCCGATAAAATATTTTCGTTTGATTAAGTAATTAATTTCAGAAAATGTAAGGAAACATCAGTTTGTCTTACCTGCATATGCCAGGTTATCTTGCCTGGCAGTTCTTTGGTCGGCACCTTTTGGCATCAACTTCATGAAATCTCCATGACACATATATGAACCTGTATTTCAATTCAAAATATAGGTATGGATAAATGAATTTACAGATTGATAGTCAATATTAATCTACAAAGGCTGCACATTATATAACTAAAGCCAAGACAAAATTCGGACTAACCGAAATATGATTGATCAATGAAATTAATTTTAAAATCAATTTAAGATCATGGTGGACTGTATCCGGTCGTTCTAAAGCAGAATAGAATTGTATATTTTGTGTGTTGTCATCAAGGATCTTTTATTGCATGTAAATTGATTTGATTTTATTCAGTCTGACCTGCACCTGGTTGGGCCAATAAAGATGATGGTTATGGTTTGAAATAAAATTCCACTCACTTGGTTGGTTCGGGGAAACTGTGGTCTGTGAATCAGGAATTGGCGGAGGAGGAGGTAGAGTTCCAGGATCTGTCGGAAATGGAGGTATTACAGGTACTGGTAGTCTATCTAGAAATGATATAAAGGTATCAATGGTTCATGAAATAGACAATTTATATTCAATTTACTTAAAACCACCAAGAAAGTTAACCTCTACACTTTTAAGTTTCGACTCCCCTGAAAATACGATTTGTTCAAACTCAAGAATCATAAAGATTAAAAATACTGTCTAAATGAAGAGATGGTTGTCACTTACCACAGACATCCATAGAGAAACAACAAACAGAAGAGCCAGGGCACAAACTGTTAATATAAAAAGAATGTTGACAACATTCAGCAGCTATACACCCAATACTCGGTGATCCACGTCGACTTTCACCTGCGCACATGTCGACAGGAGGGCCTGAAATAAAAAGAAATGTTGTTGTTTTCTCCAGCAAGGGTAATAAGACAAAGTGGTTACATAAATATAATAATTCAAGTACAGAACCTATAAACAAGATTTGTTATGAAGACTCCGAGCCATGCCTTGAACATCACTGATTTTTAGAGAACTACCAAGTTCCTCAAAGTACAACGTTTTCTGTGTGTCCGGTGGATATTGATCGATGAAAGAATATAAATACCAATAAAATCTTCAGGCGATTCGTTAGATTCGCTACTTTTGCCTTCTCTCTCGCCTTCCCTGCCTTCTCTCTCGCCTTCCCCACCTTCTCTCTCGCCTTCCCCGCCTTCTCTCTCGCCTCCCCAGCCTTCTCTCTCGCCTTCCCCTCCTCCTCTCCCGTCTGTGCCTTCACCTTCGGCTTCTTCAGATTCTCTTTCAACATCTCCATTTCCCAAACCAATATCTAGAGTTAACCTGATTCTTCCTGCTACCCTTCGAACATGAGCAATCCTGGCTTTTATATTCAGACCAAAAGAATCCAGCAAATCCAAGATATTCATACTCGATAGCATATTGTTGTTCTTCCTCTCCGTATCGTAGTCGTCATATTGACAAGCCACTAGAGATAGCGAGAGGAACAGAGCGACAAGACACTTCATTTTGATAATAAACACAAGAAAAGTGTCAGTTAGTTTTTATATGAAAACAAGAGTCGATGATTAATGATGGTATTCGAAATACAGGGAACAGGCTAATACCGTGATACGACAGTTTTATTGCGAAATGAACATTTTAATATATTTCTGGACAACTTTGTTGTTTTTACATAATGTATCATTCAGAAATAACATTGTGAAGAATTTCCACTGACATGCTTTTAGGTAGATGCTTTGGACAAAAGTTTTCTGTTAACAGCTATGGCTGACCTTTCTCCAACAGGAAAGGAAAAAAGGCTCCAGACCATTAAGCTTTTTTGTTTAGATTCATCTCATAGACCCAGTAAACATCGAATTTGTCTATTATGAATACAACTCAGTTGTTTTGTTGCAAAAGTATAAACCTTCAATCGAAATACTGTCAATTTCGAACTTGATCAAGATCTCATCAAAATGCACAAACATACCAAGGTTGCTGAAGATGGGATAAATACTGTGTTATGAACGAAGAACCATCGTACGGGGTTTACGATAACATAAGTTCATAATTTCATATTGATGTATTTATGTATGTGATTATGAGCTTTGTCAGGGTTTATAGACCAGGATGCTGTTTTCAGAGAGATAGTTAATTTCGTAAGTACTATCTTGACCGTTGCTGGAGTCGAACTCCAACAGCTGGCTCACAAGTAAACTTCTTGCTCTCTCTCTCTATGAACCACACATTCAAACTGTTATTTTGATGGAAATATTTCGAAACACATATACGACACAATTTCAAAAACACTAAACGTTACAAATCACACATTTTTACTACTTCGTTCAGTGATATGAACCATAGACCTTGTGGTAAACAGTCAGATTGCCATCATAAATAAGAAATTTCATTTGTTTGAGTCGTATAGATGACATTTATATGGACTCTTTTCGGCAGTTACACAATTTTTTTTCATGCACAAATTTCTTTGCACTGGGTCACCATAGAAGCCGTGGTGGAGAAGCATACAATCAACATCTTCCGAGTGAAGGTTTTGGTCACGAAACTGTTTAATTCCGAATTCTCTCCACAAAGCAATGTAATTGTCACAATTGGCTCTACTGACGTCACGTTGTCACCGTATTCAATACAGACTCAACCAAAGTTAATGATACTACAAATGCAACTACAACCTTATTTCCAATAAAAGCGCGGTTGCTGTCATAAAAAGTAATGTTGAATCCAATTGTTTAGTAACAAAATAGCTAGGAACGAGTCAGTAAACAATTTAAATGAGAGTTAGCACAGGCAACGGTATCATATTTTTGTTGTTGAAAAAAGTGGAAGACTTAACAGATGAATTGGTAAAATAGGCTGAGAAGATTCGTTTTATAGTGTAAAAATAGCAGCAACAAAATGAAAAGTTATGAATGTTGTATTTTATTTAAAGAATAATAACATATGAACAATTCCAACCATTTTTTGTAGTAAAACCACTTTTTACTTGCTTTCCTTTCTCTTCTTAATACACATCAGTGCAAAATCGCTTTTCAACAAACATTATAATACCGGTATCTATAAGATTTGTCAAGGCAACAACTGCAATGGTAAAACATTATAATGAGCTGATGTGAATTAAATAGCCATAAATTATTAACACCAAACTGAAAATTGCGTGCTCTTCTTTTTGTTTTTAAAGGACCTACTGCTATGTCTTTTGTAATCTCCTGTCGGTTGATCGCCCTGATATCAGATATCTGCTAGATGCCGGTTTTTTTGTAAGTCTGTGGTTTTCACCAAAGCCCTATATAACGAGGTACTTGACCCTGATATGTCTCAGTCAAGCTTTTTGTGGACATATAAAATTATTTTGTTAAATCCAGTATTTGCTCGGTCCGAGATCTTTGTTGAATTATCAAGTCAAAACATCCGATGAAATTTCACCCAAAAAATTGCCTTCTGATTTTGAATTTTGGAGTATTTCATACAAACATTTAACCCAATTCTCCTGATTGTAATGCAATGGTTTGGCCTACAATGTGTGAGTCCTGCTTTAAGTAACCTGCTTTGTTAAAACAGTATGGCCAAGGAACGTCTTGCATTGGCTTTACATTTCTAATGATAGGATATGACATGTATAGTAGAAAAATATGAAACGAAAATTGATCAAATGTAATTGGTAAATAAGCTTTACAAAGTTTGTAGAGTGGATTCAGACGATTGAAAAGTTAAGTTTAATCTGAAGAGTGTGATAAAGCAGTAAAATATGAGTCGTGTACATTTGATATTGGCCGTTCGTATATAGATATCTAATTTCATTTCATATTACACTTTCTGTAGGGTTAATATAGCGGAAGGTCAAAGTTGAAAACAGAGAATAGTATTTATCTTATCTATTGTCATATTATTATGATAAGCTAAATACACAGTATTCACGGAAGATCATTATGTGGTTGTTGAAGTTGAGTTGAAATTTCTCTACTGGGTTGTTCATAATTGATCAAACAATGTAAATTATTTATAATGACGGTAGTAATTATGGGGCACGACTCAAATGGGCGGTGTTGTTAATCGTGTAAACTAAACTAGAATTGTGTGCTCTGATGACATAAATGAAAGGAATCGTTCATGGATTTCATGAAAAGAGGCAACCACGTGGATGATCACTGCAGGTTTGTTCTTGATTCATATTGAAGGTTTCCAAGCAGGATTCTTGGTTATATATTCAGCTGGTGTTAATGAAAGATTGGAGAATCATATTAATGGTCCCCAAATAGGCGTCAAGATATGAAATTGAATTCCAAATGACGAATCAGAATTCGTTATCGTCTAAAACTAAATTTTAACAGTAATGTTTTTGAGGATCTGATCAACCGAATCCGTGTAACTATTTATTTATATTTAACTTGATTTTGGCTGACGAAGGTATATAAAGGAAATAATATATATATCATAGCATTGGGGATTGTTATTAGAAAGTAACGGAAAGAAGTATAGAGGAAGTAAAGAAGTATAGAAGAGCGGAACTCGGGTACGGTTTCAATATACGATAACCAGGAGGATCTACGATACTTTACTACCTTAGCAGCAGATCTTTTAAGAAGAAAAATATGCGGATGGGGATAAACCCACAGGAAGTCATTTCTGTCCGGAATTCGGTTGAAGACCACTGCTGAGTCAATATATCGTTTAGGTGCTGCTTTCTGTGATCTAGTTTAAATACCGATGGGATTAGAAAGTTACAATTCTTGCTGATCCCCATAACTGAGCGACAAATCTAAGATTTTGATTTTCCATATAAGAATTATTTGATGCTATTGACATCTCTCTACTGGTTTTATCTGGACTAAACGTATTATATATCATTTCAGTTAAGTTTCATCACACGTGAAGAATCACAAAATGATATAATATACATTCCTTTGTCTTTTGTACCAAATCAAAGTTTTACAGGTTATCAACTTAAGTATCTCATGATGTAACCTTTTCCTTATATTTTATATTCATTACCGGGTATTGCAACCTTTTTTACATACTTAATATTTATAAGATACGAAATATCATTTTAACCAACTATACTTAACTTACATAGAATGAATGATATTTGTGCAGTATTACGTGAATGTCTCTTCGTGATAGGGACCCACTGCAGCGGCTTAGCTCCAGTTGATCGCAAGTCTTCATGTCCAGAGTCTATTCCGTGGGTCCAGATAGTGCCGTAGTATGTTTGCAGAGTTGAGTCGTACGTGTCATTGCGATGTGACAACCATACGAGATCCTGTTTGCAATATGTTGAAACAATTATAAATCGAAACGGAAAAGATTAATTTCGATGCCCTGTCAAAATTTCATTGTCTACTGCTTTTCATTTCCCGTCTTCATTAGCTCAACGAGAAGTAGAAACACTGAACGTAATACAATAACTCCTATTCATATAAATTTTTTTTATGTAAAATTCGAGAAGGTATTGGTGTTGGGTCCTCGATGAAACCTATAGATTGAAGGACATGGCATGCAAGTCATACACAACTTGTTGAAATATTATATGAGTATGAAACTGATATTAGTTGCATTAGCAAAACAGGTTTAACAAAATGGTACATATGTATCAGATAGTCACCTGTTATTTTACCCATTAAAATTTACTTTACTTGCAAAGTTAATACCAAACTAAAACTAAACTAAGGTAATGGGAAGGCCTAACTGTAAGTACACGTCACTTTAAGACTTTACTAGTAATCTTTGCAAATTATTTCGTAAATTTCACAAACACCGAGTTACAAAAATTGGATGAGAATACTTGGACTTAAGTATAAAATTTCGGGGAAAATCAATTGTAAAAATGAATAGTCCATTTCTGTCCACCAGTATAATAGGCAGTGGTAATAGGATATTGAATGAATAGTGTGAATCGTGACTTATCTTGAAGAGTGTGTTTTCAGATCGACTATCACGGCCAATACAAACTACATTTTTGTTCACATTAAACATTATTGCATTGAACGACTAAAATGACTAATATGGCTAAATGGGGAACATCATATATTCAGGGTTACAAAGAGCAAGCTTGAGAAGTGTTCGGTTGAGGGGCATCTCCAAGCATCTTTTCTCATTAAATGTTATGAAAGGTAAAGTGTTTCAGATATTGTTTTATATTGTCACTTTCTGTGAAAAATTCAGCATTTGGATCTTTCTAACTTGCCAGCGTTAAAAGAACCACCAGTCATTATATAGTATAAAGTAAGGATTAGTAAATATAACTAAATTCTTTGGTCAAAAAACAAAATTTATTTAGTCTTCCATCTTTACTGCGATGTCTAGTGTAGCGAGTGTAGCGAGTGTCGTTAGCGACGCAGGACATGCCCAATCCTGATGTTTCTCTTCGACTTGTAAATTCAACTAATCATTATGAATAGTCTTCATAGTTGATATGGATATGTTGCCATTATATTTGAAGTAAATGGACGAATATTTTGGGTTTAGATTTAAATGACAAAATTACTCTTTCTATTTGCAGGAGAAGAATGACAACACCATTTAATATAAGGTCTTCTGTTATTACGGTGATATTCTGTGGATATTTACTGGTCTTCATGTATACTGTTATAGCACACAAATTATATCAGCAAGATGCATTGATCCATGTCACTGTTTATAAATCAAGAGACCATATTATAGAGAGTTTAATGCCAGCAACAAATCTGTCTCTACCCAAATCGGAAGTTGTTCTAGCACCTGCCAAGAAGTTTAGAGTAAGGAAAGCAGGAAGAACAAAATCTATCAAGAAAGTCGTCGTGAAGAAGAAAGTGAACATTTCGTCCTTACCGGATATAGATTTAATGAAATGGGTAAGTTTAGAAAGAAAGCAGGAAATAATAATATGAAGTACACATTGACCGATTGAGCATAAATATCAACTCGAGTTTCATGAGTATCGTGAGAAATGCTTGACTAACCCGTCAATAATAGTCTTAAATTATATTTATACTTATATACTTATTTCATTATTATAAAATGAATGAGGATGAAGATTTATTCAGATAACTTAACCTGGGAGCCATCAGCTGGTAACTATCCTTCTGTATGACCACAATGTTTACAGACTCGATTCTTTCATTGATTCTATTTTCAGCAACGACCTCAATTCTCATCGGATTTCAGGAACCCCTGTTGGTTTGATTATAGCAAGAATTATAAACCTACGTCATGCCGAGCTGGGGTATTAAGTCATATACGGATTAAGAAGGTTCATAATCCGAGGTTAAGATGTCTACCGTATTTCTATATAGTTGGTCAACCACGTTCTGGTCTTCATAATATCTATAATAGATTGATTCGTCATCCAGATATCATACAGCCTCCCTATACTGATAACTTTTGGTTAGAGAGACGCCGTTTTGGTAAGGAGTTTTAGCTATAAGCAGATGTAGTCATTAGTTCTATTTAAGAACATAATACATAGTTATGTATAATAATTATATTTCATAAAACCTATATTAAACATACCAGATTCCAACTCACACTCAAAGAAGAAAAACACATGAAAAAGAGACTTTGCATTTCATTACAATTTGTTAAATTTTTAACTTAATTTTCATCCCACAAATTGTCTACTTTCTGACCGCTGACAATATTCAATCCGTCAATAACACTGCGTTGTGTGTTGTTGAATTTTGATATTGATTCTGTGGTTCGACACTTGCGAATAGATTGTTCCATTGCACTTATTTTTTCAGCACCGGGATGCTCAACAGTTGATACATATTTGGATTATTTTCATGGAGTTTCTCAGAAGATTTTAGCCAATGGGATAAAGAATAAAAACACCAACACAACCTATCATAGTAAACTAACTGGTAAGCGCTGTTTTGCAAGCTGTGATTGTTGCCTTCTGTTACACCATTTTACCTGCATTGTACTCTTGTGATTGGGATATGGTAGACCTATTGTTGGTGTTGTTGATCTTCTCTGACAGTGTACTGAGGAAAACCTTTCTCGCTAGTAGATTGTGTTTAAGATGACTAAGTGATTTGGACGCTTGGGCCCTGGCAAGAGGGTCTGGGAGTAGGGGTTGGCATTTCTCTCATTGAATGATGTTTTCATTAGCCGGATCAAGTGCTAAAGTAACAGCGTAAATTACCATTACATTTAATTTCATTGTGTTGCAGGTGACTACAGTGGTGACATTATGTGGGATAACACAAGATGGTTTGAACTCTCTATAAATAAAGATTGTAAAGAACCTTGCTTTACTAATGCTGATTATATCAAGCATCTCAACCCTTCAGCTAAAATCATCATTTCATTGAGAGACCCGGTTGAAAGGTAAGAGTCTCCTTACTAAAACGCGATCCTGGCAAACATCCACATATGGTAAAGATAATCTTCAGCATCTGCACAATGACAGTGCTGCTTTGTGCCTCCAACATATGTGGTAATCTTTCTCCACACGTAGCTTGTATATATGATTGTTTACGCTTTCCAATGTCCACTAATGCATCTTTGACAGGTTTGGCTTGGACCTTCACAGCTATCATGAGCACTGACAACTCACCTACTGTAAATATCTAACAGATGTAACTTTGTTTCAGATTGTATTCGGACTATTTAGCTCAGTCAGTGTGGCTAAAATATACACCCCAAGTTGAAGATTTTAATAAAATGGTTTTTGAGTTGATCTACAATTTCAAAAACTGTTTGAAAGAAGATAATTCGATACGGACATGCGTTTATAGTTCTGGGCTTCAGAATGCTAACAGCAAGGTTAGTTAACATGGGGAAATTGGTCTAGAATGCTTTCATTTGTACATCAAATCAAGATATATATTTAATCTTGTGAATTCGTGACTAACTGTAATTTGGATCTGTCCCTTTCAACGCACAGCAAACAGAAAATGGTTTGATTTGAAAAACAATAAGTGGCTCTTCAGGCAGTTGGTCCAGAATCAACATGCATTGACATTTTCCAAGTGGCAAGGCCGTCGACCACCTCCGACAATAAATGTCAACAAGTAGTTCAGTATGTATGCAGCTGCCTTGATTAAAAGTCGTGAAGATCTGAAGCGATTTTGTGAACGAAATTTTTACATCATAATGTTTGTCGGTGTGAAGTCATCTACTCTAGCATTTGCTTCATTCCAGGTTCGTCTTGGAATTGGTCTGTACAGTATTTACCTGGAGGATTGGTACCGAGCCTTCTCCAAATTTCAGATCCATGTCATTCATTTTGAGAATTATTTAGAAAATACTGAGAAAGAAATGTCTCGACTCTTCAGATTTCTTGGCTTAAGTAAGTTCAACATTATTCGAAGGGTATGGTTGGTCGTTTAGTTTCAATAAATATCTTAGCATATATGCTCATACCAATATTGCATTTAGTTTTAAAATACATGTATTGGAATGTGATATTGCTTGTACAAAATTTTCAAGATTAACTTGATATTCCGACATTCTGCGTTATCCGACATCATTTTCTGGTCCCGATTGATTTCCTTCTTAGGCTAGTTTTAAAAACTTTGAGTACTCTGACATTCTGAGTATTCCGAATTAAGACACTAATCAGTGGTCCCGACATTCGACATTTCATCATCTTAATCACCTTTCGCCAATTAGATAATCGCTTATTTTATTGATAATCCAGATCAAATCACATGAAAACAAAAGATCGCTAAACCATCTTGAATTATACTTCCTCATTACACCTAATGATGGCAATCTTGAAACGTGGTAGTTAGTATACTATAAAATATCGTTCCGTAATTTAATGTGATCTTTAACAATGTCGCGTAGGGATTACAGTTTTGGCCTTATGGATAATATATTTTTATGATAAATGATTTTTACTTGCAGGACAACTTACAAAGGGTGAGTCGAAGAAGGTAATGACAGAAGTACCAACTAACAGACGAACAAATGAAGCAGACGAAGGTGAAATGTGGACTGAAACTCGTGAAACTCTGGCGGAGTTTTATAGGCAGTATAACGAAGCTTTAGCAAAACTGTTAAACGACACCAAGTTTTTGTGGGGTAATACATCGGGTTCATGACGAGGCATTTTGTGATGGTAGAGGAAAACTGGATGCGCTCCCAGGAGAACATAACAAATGGAATATTCGTTAAAAAAAACTGTTATCACCGGTCGCTCTGAGAAAGTATATATATATATTATGTACATCACAAGTATGTGCATCTTGATGGATGTGTATTTGTGTTGATCTCAGTGGCGAATAATTGTCGAATATGTGAACTTATCAAGGACGACCAATTTGTGGAATCACAACCATCAGATAATATGATTCCCCATAAGCCGAGAGAGAAATATAATTATTATATAAATGGGTGAATGATTTATTGCCGAGTGGTTCGTTTTAATGGAGTGAAATAAACAGAAAAAAGTATGTATGAGCTGGGTCATATGTAGCCTCGTGTAAAGAAAGTAAAAAGAAAATGTTGATTAATCTTATAAAAATCTATTTTAGACAGTAATTATTTGTATTACTGTGTATTTTACAGAGGAAAATGTTGAATTAAGATCTCATCTTCCCTGACAACTTGTCAACACGTTCCGGAATATTTTTCTTTCCGCCTCATATGTTTAATAACTGATACATAATATATATTGACTGATATTAAAAACAATGCCGCGATATCTATAACTGGACACAAGAACAACAATGGTTTTAGTGTGTTTTTACTTGTGCTTCAGAAAGAGTAACCATGTACAGTGGAGAGGCGTTAACCGGTTGCCGACAATCTGGAAACCCAGAAGTCCACACGCCTCTTACTGGGAACGGAATATTAAGTATGTAAAATTACCCGTTAATCCAATGATCCGGTTTTCGTGTCCTCACGGCTGTGATTTGCAACTAATTATCATATTATGTAGTAATTAGTATTCACCATCCGGTACTACAGTCTTGTGTGTCATTGGAATTGTTTGTGTGTTTCGGATTATGTATCAATTAATGTGTGATGGTTGTTATAAACGATTGAATATTATTTCCAAATATATTACTTATATTTTATATCAACGCCAACGTGAATTCATTTGAGAGATCTGCATAGGTCAAAGTTACCAGCATTTCTTTTGCTCATAGTGTCTTTAAACAATCTGAATATAAAAAGATCCCATTGTCTTCTGAACAGTTCTGCTTTCATGCTAGACATTTTCAACTTCCTTCATCCCACCTTCACCGTTTAATCGCCATCATGTTGCACTATTCATCGTGTTATCTCGATATGATTGTGTATTTCGTCGTCTTATACTTATGCTATAACTATATTCATTATTTTTAAATATTTAAATGGTAAACCATAATGGAGTATTTATTTTTCTAAAATTCCTCGAAACCTTCCTACCTTTCGGGTTCAGACTTTCCTCTATTGAGTATCTTATTCTTAAATTAGTTGTCTTTGATATCTCTACCATTTTATTTCATGGTCTACACGTATATTTATGTTCATACGATCATAACAATTTATTATTTAAGACAGTGTTATTGAATTAGTAAGGAGAAATATCACTCGCTATGGCCAAAAGCCCAAAATGAAAACACCAGTAAAAGGAAAATCACACCCTTTCCCTTATCTTGAACAGAAGCCAATTGATTTATGCCAATAGTTTGAAGTTACTTCCCTGTACTGTATATTTATGTTGCTTTTTATCTGAAGGGAACTTGACTATCAATCTATAAGTTAGACTTTGGAGTGTTTATCAATTTCATATACACTAATTAAACTACGGAACAACAAGAAGGTAGGGTTAAATGTTCATTCAACAGTAAGTTAATGTCGCTGTTATAATGCTCTCTATTAGTTGCTCAAACCATCACGGAAATTTGTTAAATATAAAAAATATTCGAAGCACTGAGGGCACCATATTGTGTGCGTCAAAGAGCCTTAGGCAATTGTGATGTTCTGGTAAAATGTTGCTCGTTGGAAGTTACATGGTATTGGAAGTGAGACACAAGACCTAATAGCATTTAATTCATTAAATATGTTTTATTGAACGAGAACGTGGAAAATTGTCATCAATATGAAATGTGACACAAATGTACTTTCATCATGAGAATGGGGTCAAGTTGTCACATACCATGGTCTATCAATAAGATAAGTGTAAATTTCCTCGCGTGCTTGAAATATATAATAATTATTCAGGTCATGACTGATAGTATAGTTGATCATGTGTAGCTACTGATTTTGTACAATGAATCAAAAGCGAACACAGAATCAAAAGGGAACGTGCACTGTTAGCATAACAAGAATGAGGGTATTGATATTTGCAGAAAAGACCAAACCAAACTTATAGTAACACATTTTGATCATATGAAGAAGGTCCAGCAAAGGTTTTTTTATCCCCTTTGTTCAAGATGAACCAAATCACACTAACACCAAAATTCTCAAACTCGTCTTTTGTTTCGAACATTGACCAGCGTCGTTTCCAATTTTGTTCGAATGCCTTGGATATTAAAAAGTTATCATTGAACTTTTGAAAAGTGTCTTTAAAAATCATGTTACTGTCAATTTTACGATATTTTCAAAGATGTCTAATAATTTATTCATCCATTTAGTAATTAATTCATTCTCTCGGCTATTTGATGAATATTAATGAGGTTACTATGTCAAGACACTAATCAAAATACTTAATATTCGTCTATGTTTATATTTATCCTTAATTACATATCATTATAGGCTTTACTAATTAATTAACCCAGCTGAATCTTTCTGCATTTTTTAGTATTAAAATGAAGCTAATATATTATTGAATATAGACCTACAATATGTCGTCGTTTTCACCGATGATTGAGAAAATTCATAATTTTGGAATATATATGAAAAAGGGAAAACGAGCAATTTTACAGGTAAGTATATAAAATAACTGCCATGTTGAGTTATATGTTAGTTTTATTATATTGCTGTAATAATGTCGAGAAACTCTTCCAAGTGAAAAGCTGAGAAAAGTGAGAGTTTCCGGATTGTTGGCACACTCACTTAAGTTTACGGCATAGACATGCTGCCAAAACTGTTGCTCCATCACGCCCACGGCAGCGCATTAATGCAGTAAATTTTAGAATTGATAATGTCATAATCCCATGTAGAATGAATTTTATTTTTCATTCGCTAGAAATGCATTTACAAATTGATTATTATTATTATTGAATGTGATTGAAAGCACGCACAAATATTATTTTTATTGTCGAATAGATCACAATTGTAGGTTCGTACCTGTTAGATATCAAACGTAATGTTTATGTATAGTATTTATTAGATTAACTATTGACTTCTATAGCTTATTATTCAGTAATAGAACGCGGATCTTCACAACAAACCGTTTCAAACAAGTTTTTTGAAATATATCCAAAATAATAAATAGGGTCTACTGAATAATACTGGAGTAAACATTTAAAATAGAACATGTTAAAACAATATACATGTTTGACACTTGTAAAATAAGGTAACCATAGTTAACAATGCACAGAATATGTCGTATTCTGCCAGAAACTTATTTTATATTTAATGATTCAGGTTTTCAGTTTAGACGCGCCTGGTACCCGCACAGCAAGCAAGGGCAATATGAGAATCGCCAAAGTCGACAGAGGTCTGAATCCATTGCTGATAAAGGCTAATAAAACATTATAATTCAAAATTGTCAAAGGTGCATTGAAATAGATCAAATGTCAAAATAATTTATCTGCATCTTAAAAACATGATACAAACTGTATGTAATGTTTTTCTCATAACGTTTTTATTCTAATGATACTCGCTTGTACCGATTTATTTTTGTCTTTACAGTTAGATTTTCCTGGCAGGTCTTTTAACATTATTCAAAGAGGTCACATCAAGAAGAATTTTCGCTTTGAAAACTTGGTCCATTTTGATTCCGCAGTAAGTATATACGTCCCTCCATCACTTTCTGGTGTATGGTTCCAAGTAATGATATTATAGTCAATAGTTATATAGAAATATTTTGAGCATAGTCGATTTTAAAAAATTCGAGGTATGTTTTCTTCGAATTATTATTTATTACAATATCTAACTATGAACTCATCTTGTCAAATGCTCAATCTTTTTAGGAAGATCTTCATATTATATTAACAGTTGGTGAAACAGATTTAGAATTCCAAGCTGATAATTCAGAAGAAAAATATACCATATGTAGATTATTATCCTTGGTTATTGATCTATCACCTCATGAATATGCAAATTGTAAGTTCCCCCTCAATTTAAAATCCAGTCTAACAGCTTCTCAACTACAACAATTAATACGGCTGCTGTCGCTAAATAGACAGGATAGGTTCAGTCTTCTGGAAGATTTAGACAAGCAGTCTGATTAGTTAACATTGGGGATATCTCCATAGTTCAAAGTGTTAATAGCCCCGTCACACCGGAAAGGCGTACTTACTGAGCAACTACGGCGACAGTAAATTAGCATGTTAAGGTCGCCATAAGCGTGGTATAAGCTTGAAGGAAGCTAAAACTAGAATCTAGAATGTTTTTCGACAAAATTTGTAACATCTCCATAAACACAATTAAAAAAAAGCACAAGCCCATAGAATTTTAAAGTTTTAAAGGGAATTTTTATCACGTTGCTGCCCATGTTATTTCAGTAGGTTTACCATCACTTACTAAAGATAAATCTTCTGGGGTGAGTGTTCTACCACCAGTATCACTACGACAAGAGAAGATTCTAAGAGAAGGTGTTCTGGAAAAGAAGGGGAATACAACCATTACGACTTGGAACAAGTGAGTTATTAGAATAAAAATATAGCACTAGCTATGATAGCTCTGAAAAACGTGAAACTGAATGATCCTAATTGGCGAGAGGTCTTCAAGTATGTCACACGCTTTATATCAAAAAAGAACATCCCTGTATATTGTAGCTGGAATTTACCTCCTTTTTCCATGTGGCCGGGCAAGATACAGCAGCTATGGACAAAGTGTTCCATAGTTTTAGTTTCGTACGTAACATCTTGACGTTGAAGGCAACCCCTTCTAAATAATATAGGATTCTAATAGGATCCAGATCTTTCATGGTGTATTCCCTTTAGACACACACCAACTACAGTTCATACTGATAGAAAGGGACATAATTCAGTCTTTGCAATGTATTTTCAGACGCAGAGTGAAGATATCAGCAGGCGAATTCTCGTATTATAAACCCGGAGATGAGGTAAGATCGATTGTATCGACGGAACTCAAGGGCGGGATATCATCAGGACAGAATATCTCCAGGACGGGATATCACCAGGACAGAATATCTCCAGGACGGGACATCTTCAGGGTCGAAACATCTTAGGACAGAACATCTTCAAGACAAGACATCTTCAAGACAAGACATCTTCATGACAGACCATCTTCAGGACAGAACATCTTTAGGACAGAACATCTTCAGGACAGAACAACTTCAGGACAGAACATCTTCAGGACAGATCATTTTGAGGACAGATCATCTTCAGGACAGAACATCTTCAGGACAGATCATTTTGAGGACAGATCATCTTCAGGACAGAACATCTTCAGGACAGATCATTTTGAGGACAGATCATCTTCAGGACAGAACATCTTCAGGACAGAACGTCTTCAGGACAGATCATTTTGAGGACAGAACAACTTCAGAACGGAACATCTTCAGGACAGAGCATCTTCAGGACAGAACATCTTCAGGACAGAACTACTTCTAGCAAAAATCTTATACAACGATCCATGATAACTGAAAACATATTTAATTTTATTTTTTCAGCTAGCGTTGAATATTGTACAAATCTGGGATGGTGCTACTCATATTAAGAGAATAGGTAACAATAGTTTCAACGTGGTGATCAGAGATTCTAGAACATACAGGTACTTAATTTTGTTTTCAGAAGCTTTGTATCTTTAATAACTAACTAACCAAATAACTTGCAAAACCTTTCACTCCATATTCCATATCCCTCACTTAGGGCCACATTTGTATCTGCTAATAGACCACATATAGGCCTAACCAAACAACCAGCTGTTAGGTAGATGCATGGAATATTAATTTCATATCTTAATCTCTTATTTCAGTTTCCGATGTCTAAGTGAATCAAAATCGAAGTCTGTTGAAGAAGAAAGAGATGAATGGGTGAAGGTATGCGTATTTTACAAGGATAACAACTAAGGTCCATAATTAAGGATCAATTCTACCAGCTGGTCCTTGGCCAAACCTCTTGGAATTGATCTTTCCAGGATTATCCGTACCCTTTTTCAGCCTGGTCGACGCATTGATCTTTTCCGGATTATCCACACTATGAGTGAAGATGACTATTTTTTAAGGTCATCGAACTTTTACACGCCGATCGAGATCGGAACCCACAGCCACCATTTGTTTGACGTAACCAAGCAAATGACGTCATGTAAAGATCCGACGCTTCTTACCAAGGAGCTTAAATAGTCCTTGGAATAATGACTCCAAGAATAGTCTATTAAGCCTCTAACCGACAGGAGTTATTTTTCTTTTCATGAAAAAGAAATGGTGATTATATTTTATTTTTTTTGGTTAAATTCTAAAAGGTTTGAGAGCTATCCACTATCTATTTCTTTTCTGCTGGTATTCTAACAATTTTTAAAATTTGATGATTCACTCATTGTAAGTATTAAAAGTAGCCTATCTAGGATTGTATTTGTAGGATTTTGAGAAAGCTATCAGAACTAGAAGAAATACTCTGGTGTATATTGATGATAATTTATTGAGCAGTAACCAACATAAATCGGATGAATTCAGTTATCCACCAACTTTAGAATCGACACCTTCTTCAGAACTAACACGTGTGGAGGTAACAAGCATTGAAAATAGAAAATGCAATCTGAACATCTGATCTGCGTTAAGCCTAACATTTTGCTAAACTCTGCAACGGTGCCGACTTTCGTTTACTTGTACAAGATTGTTACGTTTCCTGGTAGTTCAAACATATTAGATTGTTCAGAAAATCTCCAGTAGGCTAATGATGACCATCTTATCTGGCATCTATACACATTCCAATTCATGTTGCCGTAACCAATTAATTTCTTTGATTTCAGAATTCTCAAGACTTCAGCACTAAACAGTATGAACAAAATAGGTAAATTATGACCGATTATAACCTTTCAGTTTACCTGTTCAGTTACTAAATAGTACTTCATATTTTTATCAAGGAAATTAATTAATAATCGATAGCAATTTCCACTTTAAAACCTCGGATATTATCCACTTGCAAAACTTAAGAAAATTTCTTTCAGGAAGCCAGAAATAACAGCTCATCTAAGTGTCAGCGTTAGCTATGTATCAGATAAATGTCACGATTCGGACCGGAAGAGTCCGATGCCACCATTATCGTCGACCACTACAACACAAACATCTCTCTCCAGTAAAGTTCCCATCCATGTTCCCTCTCCATCTCGAGTTATTCCAAAACCACCCACCATGTCACCAGATCCAATCTATTCCTTACAAACCTCCGTAACAAATGATGCCTCATCACCCCCACCCCCTGACATGGTTAAACCTTTCCAAAACACGGCTGTGGTCAAACCTTATGCTGTGTCTGATGTCAGTGGGGAAGCGATGACGGGAGAACAACCGTCAGTTGCTAATGCCCGAGCAATGTTTGAAGAGAAGAGTAAGAAGATGGCTGAGGAGGAAATATCTCCCAGAGAACGCAAAAGAGTTCCTACTCCACCTGAACCACCACCAATGGATTTGATACCAGACGATAATATTCCTCCACCCGCCGGACCACCTCCACCTCCGCCACCACTACTTAACGTCAAGAAAGCTGGTGTCAAACTCTCTGTTCTCCCTTCCACAAAACTTAAACCAGCACACTGGACCAAGATATCAAAGTCAGCTGTAAGTTCAGTTTTCTACATAGATCCATTGAAAAGATCAACGTATTCACAAAGCAAGCTCACTGAATAGAAGTGTCATTCCTCTTCTTTAGACATCTTCGTGAATGTTTCAGGCCTCCAATTCTATATGGAAAGACATGCGGGATGTTACAAAGAAACTCAACTTAGCCACACTGGAAGATCAGTTCGCAATGAAAGAAAAAGATGATAGAAGACTCAGTAAAGAGATCCCAGACTGTAAGTTAGTGTTTAACAGGATCCCAGATCGACGTTGCAATTTGTAGAATCTCAGACTACAACTTGGTCGTCAACGACTTCAGTCAACATCTGGGAAAATCTGATCAAGCATTGGATTAAGTCGACCCGGACGCCCGGACAACTGTCAAAGTTGTCACACGTTGCCACCAACAAAAATGGGATCTAGTCGCCGATCTGAGCGATTGGAATCTGTAACCGGTCTGTAAGCAATCAGATTCCCAACTGCAAATGATTCAATAAGCTGATGTTAAATCATCAACTCAACTAGAGACTCCCTATACAATCAAAGAAACAAAGCAAAACAATCCGGCAATAAGAATCTTTCTAAATGTAAATTTATTAACAAACACTTGCTAGGTTTGATTATTACATTTTATTACTATTTATTATTTCAGCGGGAAAAGCGACACCCATGTTGGATCAGAAGAGAGCCCATGTATTGGGTATAATAGTCAATAGTATGAAGATAGCGGGTCATATCAACATGTTGGATATCATATCTACAATAACTGAGACAGAAACATTCCCTTCAGAAACTCTCTCCACAATTCGCAGGTATGTATACAAAGTATATATCTTTATACATTATATATCAATTTCATCCTAGAAAACCTCATCTTATCATGTCGAAGCTGTTTAAATACACTGTACAACGTTGATTTTTTTATATTATCTATATAGCGATGGGACGTTACAATCAGGACAGTATACTACATTGACGATGTATATGTTCAGAAAGGCAAATGAATTTTCAATGAACTTCAGGGATCGAGTGTGTATGTTGCTGAAAATATTTCCTTTCGATATATTGTAGTTGTCAGCCCACAGATGACGATATAGAAATGTATAAAGCATATAAAGGTTCTAAAGATGATCTCAATTCAGTCGATAAATTTATGATGGAACTATGTGAAGTTCCAAAGATAGACTTGCGGCTGGAACTTTTACAGATCATCTGGGAATTTCCCAAAACTTTTGAAGAAGTTCAAGAGGTATGATTGTTATCTAGAATTGAATTATTAGTTTTATCTATTCTATCAATAACACTCTGCATGTTGTTCTTCCCGATAATGTCGACAAATGATCCATTATATCCCATAAAGCTGCAAGAAAAGATCAGAGAAATGGGCTTTTCGCACAATCCAAGGACCATGCCATACCAGAATATGATATAACAGGGATAACCAGGCGAAAAATTATGAAGGCAAATTCTCGGTTTGTGACACATTCTTGATTGAATTTTGTTTCTAATGTGAGTTTTATGCTGATATTAAAATGACTCTCAATATCATGATTGGTGACTTTCATAGGTAATTGACAGGTTACGACTTCTTCGAACTCAAATGCAAATAATTGTATGTTGTTATTCAGGAAGTCGATGATATCTGGCAAGCCTGCGATGAAATAGTTGGTTGTACTAAATTAGTCAACGTTCTGGAATATCTACTAGCTATAGGAAATCTCCTCAATGCTAAATGGTCTTCAGGATATGGTGTTCCTGGGTTCGAAATTACTTCAATCGACAAGGTATGGGACAGATCTGTTACCCCCAACGACAAACCATGTTACTCACGAAGACTTTACCTTATTTGAACTAAAGGTTTCCATTGTTGCTCCGCATTGGAACTAAGTAATAATGTTTGTTGTCCAATAACAGTCGTGTTTGATAATTTACACCTGACTTTGTCGTGTTATAAGAATGAGGTAAGATAGCAAATATGTTTGAATATCCAATCTCCAGCAGGCGAACAAAGAAGGTAGGGACACAGATCGTTTTTTCGTTGTTTATTTTAACATTATTTGCTGGAGAAAAAGAAAGCTTCATCACAAAATACAATCCTTCTTTAAGAAATAAAGATTGTTTGAACGTTTCAGATTATAGAAGTAAAAGGGAAGAACAACACCACTGTACTGAACTATCTGATAACAACCTTAAAGAAGAACGATCCCGAACTGTTAGACTGGAGTTCGACATTGAGCCACGTGTCAATATCATCAGAATACTCGGTGAAGGCTATAGGAGCAGAATTAGAAGGTACTTGGAGAGTTCTTTGATAATACATTACATTGAGGTTTGCCTGGAATAGCATCCAGGGTATAAAAGGTAAAATCAAGTAAAAAATGTATAGATATACATATACATACGTCGTCATCTCGGAAACCCAAACATACTTCTGATTGCTCTCCGAACATTTCATGGTCCTAAAATTCTAGAGAAGCAAGATCCACGACCAATTTGCTTTGTTCGCCAAGTGATAATCTTTGAGTTGGAAGGTAATTTGATTTTTCATTTTCTAGTTATGAAAAACGACCTTATGAAAGTTAAGAAACATATGAAAGTGCTAAAACCATTGCTGACTTCAAAATCAGATAAGAAGTTTCAAACAGATGTCCATGTGAGTGTGTTTTATTTGTTTTTCATTCACGTATTCCTTTGACCGTAGTTTAGGTGGATCTCGATATGCTTATGTTGATATATTGGCATTGAGCGACAACGGATGAATATGATTTTCATCACTTTTCTGAGACTTATTTTTGTATTGTTACCGTTGACCTTAACGAAATAAAATACCTTTTGATGCTATAGATCCAATTACTACTTTTATGTGATATTTTAAAGTTTTTATGTTAAGCACCGCCGGTCCCAGTTTATCTACGTCCCAGTGAAATATTGATATTTTTTTCTTTCTGTTTCAGGCATTTGTTAATGAGAATGAAAAGAAATTGGATAAACTAGATGCCAAATCACATCAACTTGCAAATAAATATATCAGAGCTTTGGTGAGTAAAGGCTTTATTAATAGGCTATCTCTAATAATTGGTTATTTCTTGTCTTTTTTTAGATCTTGCATCAAATAAAGGCAGGCCACGGAGCATAGTTACAGCAACGCCTTGCAATTTTCCAAAGCATCTAGTCTTAGGAGTTCAATCTGAGCGAGTATTATTAACCAAAAGTGTGCGTCGTAACTTCTTTGATCTGTTCTATCAAACTATTCAGATGACTTATGATAAACAAAAGGATCAAGGATCTGTAGACCGTAAATACTAATCCAGGCTCTTACCCCTTGAAGCTATACGCATTTATTTTCTATTTTGATTTACAGGAATTATTTGGGGAAAAGTCTGATAAACCATCTGACGTCTTCTTCGGTTGTATACAAAATTTTATGGAGAGTTTCCAGCAAGCAAGGGGTAAAGGCAACCGATAATTCAAAGCGGCACAGTGACTTTTACTTGCAATATCAACCTTAAGAAGTGCTTTGAAACATTTTAAATTATCTTTTTCTCAAATGCACCACCACGTAATGTTGTTCTTTAGTCGGTTATACCTATATATGAGCATCCAGGTGGATTTAAAAGGCGTAGCCAATTCTTTGAAATATGTTGTCCATTATCATTTCTGGGAAAATTCTCTTAATTTCTAATGCTCCGGATTGAATCGGATGCACATAGGCACAATTTAAATTTCTCTACTGTTGTCCACAAGATGGGATTGTTAAGACGTCTTTTGCGCCTTTAATTTGTAGTATTTCTTCTATGCGAGTCATTGCAATATCTCATAGAAGATAAATATTTCCACTTGTATAATGCTTCATTAAAAGGTAGCCTTTACATTATCACCTTTGAAACATATTCATCCTTGTTCCAAACTTCGAGTAATTGAGGCTGTAAATCCCTTCTTTGATCACTACCGAAAATGCTATATTTTAAGGCAAATATTGCGCTGTAGATTCGATATGCTTCTTCATTAGTGAGGAAATTTACTTTTGCTTAAAATAATTGCCACGTTTAACCCAACTCCACATATCAATCATATAGTTTATTTAAAACCAAATCGTTTTATATTCTTTTATTAACAGTGAAAATAAATTAACTTTTCAAAATGTACATTAGTTCATTGTTCCCAAGGCACGGTCTTTTACAAGACAATAGTTGGAATTATAAATCTATGGGACATATTATGAAGGTTCCACAATCAACTGTCTGTTTTAACACCATATTGTTTTAATAAGTCTACGGCTTCCTTATGGGCCTGAAAGAAGAGAGGGAATATATACACTATCTCTAACAAAAAGCAGGGAGGTGACTATCTGCGACAGAACAGACCATTCTTGTCCCTTGTAAGTTAGTCTCCCCAATCTCTCTACCACTGGCGTTTCACATAAGGGTTGCTTGTGAGTCCCCTTGGCAATTCTGTTGCCCTCACTTTATGAATCATAGACATGCCAATACTCAACCAAATAACATGGAAACCATCAATACCTACACGAATTCGTAATTCGTGAAATGAACACCCAACTAACAATGATAAATAAAGGCAATTTGACAATGAAAAATTAATTTTTCAAGGGAGATAATACCTGTTCATCGTCCGTTGTTTGTACAGGATAGTCTCTAGCTTTTATTAAATATGTGATAGCTACATCCTTCTGTCCTAATCTCTGATACGTCTTACCCAGCATTAATAGATTCATACTGTAGAAATTGGGCTCCACTGAAACAAGGTCACATACCAGGGTCAACTTTATGATGCAACTATAGGCTACTTTGTAATACGTGTATAAATCATTTAATGACTTTAATTTAATAGGTATTATGCCATTTTTAAAAGAAAGTTTAGTATCAAAAACAAAATTTTTCTAATTAAAAATACAGTGATTTGTTTTGATTTTGAAATTTTTAAAATTGAATGTAAAAACTATAGAATTACAAGACTCAAAATAACTACTATATCATGCAACAATTTGGATATGATACAGAATAAAGGTTTACCAGAGAATTTTTTAGGTGACAGAAAACGATGACAATGAAGTACAATGAACAATCAGATATCTACACAATACATTAGTTTACACATAAAACCTACCAATATGTACATCAGAAAAACTCAAAGTAAATAGAACTTAAAACAAAAATAATATGAATATTAATAAAATGAACTTAAGAGTTTAATAATAAAAATTGATGTAATAATGAAAGTGTTTGATTCAAATGACTAAAAATGTGATTATGTTCATTTTTAAAAAAATGTATCCTTACCTTTTTCAGCTAAATGAAAATACTTTAAGGCCTGGAAAAATAATTATTGATAAATTATAAATTTAATTATGAATGCACTTAATAAAGGATCACAATCATTAATTTGAGAAAGTATTAAGAAATAAAATGAAATGGAGTTTTACGTCCTACTTTTCTGAAAGTAATGAGAAAAACAAAGGTTAAAAATAAATTCACCTCTTCATATGTTGAAGATGGAGGTGTAGCTAGTAATGTTGATGCCAACTTTCTCTGGTACCATGGTAAATCAGCAAATACAAAACACCTGGAATTATTTTTCAAATATTTTTGAAACAAACTAGAGAAATTCAATTTTAAAAAAAAAAGTTATAAGCCTTTTTCCCAAATTTCCATATAACAAAAAAAAACTTACCAATAGCCTAATGAATATATTGATGTGGCATCTTTAGGATTTAGTTCTATTGCTTTCTGTAATTGAAATAAAATATTTATGGATATAAATTTGTTTCAATAGCTTGATAATTATTAACTTATTTTTCAACAGAGGTCATCAATTCAAGGGTGAAAATATCAAGTGTTCTTTGGAACTAGTTCAGTTTTAATATATCAATATAAACCATCAACAAGATGACTGTCTTTGTTTGATTCTTTATTGTATTTTGAACCTTGACTGCACTTTGATGAATAAATTAATATCTTAACCTAAAGAAATTATTACAGTACTCACCAGAAAATGATCTTTAACTTTGTAGGAATTCAGTATTCTAACCTTAGTACCTTCATATTCAGCAGTATAGTCCAGAAGTATTGCATACCACTGAAAGGATAAAGTAATCAATACCTGTACTAGTTTTCTTCAAAAATATACTGAACAATTCTGAGAATTATTCCATAAATTTATGAAAATACAAATTAACTATTTCATTCTTTCAAAATTTCATTTTTGACAGGCTCACAAAAATTGAATGATTTCAAGGCCTACTTACTTTGTTGCAAGCAAAGCTGTTTTCATCTAGGACTATAGCTTGCTTAGAATATTCAAAGGCTTCAAACATACATTGTTTACGTTTCTCATTATCACGACTTAACTTTCCTTTATCACAAGTAGCTCTAGCTAATCTCCATAATATTTCTGGATCATTCAAATCTTTATATTTGATGAGAAAGTCATAAAGTTCCATAACTTTTGTTTCTTCATATAACCTATCAGCTTTTTCTGAAATAACTTCACTTTCACTTTTATCTGAAATCGAGAAATCAATATCCTGCAAGGGCTATCCATAGATTACAGATAAGTTATTTCTTTATTAGCTAGAGACATCATTAGCAGCAATATTTCAATCCAAGTAAGCAATGTAGGATTTAGAGTTATGTCTGGCTTGAAATGGATACATAATCAAGGCCCTTATTTATATCAAACTTTACCAGTATCCATTAAATAAGGTCAGTTTAGAAAGCCTAAAGAGAAGATTTTAAAATATAATTGTTAAGATATGCTCACCCTGTTCCTTTGACTGTCCAAAACCAAAACTCAATGCATGAACTTTTGGTATGAAAGGCAGTGTTATCATCCATGTACTGATACCAAAATACTTTGGAGCAACTGTTATGCATCGTTGAAATGACTGGAATATAAAGCCAGGCAAATAGTTGAATGAATAGTACTTTCATTACCTCATTGTAAATTAACCATTCTTAAAATCTATATCTTTGCTTTGCTATTCGGGAGATGTGCGACTTTTGAACGAACTGAATTCACTAGGCAAACCATGGAGCAGAAAACTGGCGAACACTCTAAATATTTAGAATAACATGAAATGATTGATAAACATAATTACCCGTCTTAGTTGTAAAATTCTATTTCTCGGTCTGGCATACCATGAAAACACTTTAAAGTCACCAAATAACTGATGGAAACGACTTGCAAGAAACTTTCTGTTCGTGGAGGCTGACATCTTGAATTTGTTTTCCTCCTTCAACGTCAAAGTTGAAACGTCAAGGGAGGTAATCCGTAAAGAAAAATTATTCCAGACAAAAATTGTTAATGTGCACCACAGTTTCGTATTAATGCAGAAGCTATTCGAGTTGTATCCGCTGCTTACTCGCTGCAAAGGACGAACTCATCCAAAAATTCCTAGATCGAGATTTATATAAACATTTCTATATGATTTGACACATCCAAAGTGTTGGCAAGCTGATTTAACTGGTTTTAAGAAGAAAGAGATCAGGTGGTCGAAACTAAGACTCTAATTAGATTAACACTATTTATTCCGAACCTGCGAACGTTCTGGAAAAATCTCTGGGAGGTCATCGATTACCGATTTAACCAAATGAGACACCTGTGTTGACAGTCCAAACCATAAGCCTACAATGCTGACAGACCTAATAAGTGGACATGCCTTAGTCCTTATTGGGTAGAAAACATAATATTTTAAATCATCAACAAAACGAAATGTCAAGCTGGAATTGGTCAAAAGAAACCAGGCCCGCAGCCAGACGTGATTGTTCGAAGGGGCGAGCAAAATATCTGGAGGAGCAATGGTGTATGGTGTTGCAGTAATGGAATTGGTCGGTTGTCAGAATTTTTCAAGGAATGTGTCCTTTTGTTTTCTTGAGCAGCCATTAAATACTTGCAAACCTTACAATTATGAATTTGATTTTCCTTCGAACTTGCTTTTCATATCTTTTGCTAGTTCTTCTTTAATTAAATTTTACACGATTATTTGAACGTCCTTGAATAAATGAAATCTGAAGTAGGCTAGATCTCGTGCTGTTGTATTTTTAGAAACTAATAAGTTTCTATGACAAATGTAAGAAGCTGTTATTCATTGCGATTATCTTTATAATGACTGGTTATATTGAATAAGGCACTATCTCATATCTATCAATATACATGTCATTTCTTCTATTGTTAAAACGTCTGTCAAATTACCTTTATTTCCTACTCTCAATGCAATGAATAAATTTTGAATCATTATGTGAAATTACGAGCAATTTAGATTAATCAACTGAAGACAAATTGTGCTCGCGCCGTGAAACATTTCACATGTGCCAAGAAGGTGAGGTAGACAAATTAAAGGTAACATAAGTAAACGCTTCAATTTTTCATAGCTTGATATCTCTTTAAAAAAATAAATAAATAAGGCACTGCACTAACTATATCCAGATATGTAAAAGTGCAATTTGATAACTTTTCCTAGTTTATAATCGTATTGATGTTCCGATTGTCGACGACAACGGATTAGCGGTAGTTGAAAGTCAAACGATGCTGGTAACCAATTACCAATCTAAAGTCGCCGACGTCGGCGAATGATTTTAACAGCCAATCATGTTGTTTTTTGTAGATTTCATAATGCAAATTTATGTTATTTATATTTAATCAACACAAAACAAATATAATCGAGTATGCCTCCCCGAGTATTTCGCTTAATCGATTATTATTTTCTTCCGATTGCCCATAACATGGTTGTGTCTTTGTGATAGTCGGGTGACTTCTACAGGAATGATGTTATGCTGGCTAGATCTACTCGACTTCAGCTAATAAGAAATACATGAACTACCCTAATGAGTAAGCAAGTATTTGTGTAGTCATTATTTCCCCATTTTAAATTATCATCATAACACGGTACACTTAGGTTGTTTCTGGCTTACACATCACTATTAAAGGCACATTAGGGCAATAACCTTACCAAACAAAGGCGAATTTTTCTATGTCCACATACATGATGCTATTTTCAACTGTGTTCATGACTATTTTATTTTCAACTTTTGACAATGATCAGGTCAGTGTACGAAGGATTGATATCGAACTTGACACTATTACACTAATTTAATGTTATATAGTTACTCAACGTTTCAATATTTAGTATATTCTATACGAGTTTATTGACTTCAATGGTTATGTGGTGCATGTTGAAGGACTTCATGGATAAAATCGTTCGAATGGGACAATAAACATCCCCCCCCCTCTGCCTAAGAACTTGGTGTTTATAACTGAGATCTTAAACAGAGCGGAATAATTTACCTTAAACACCACGTTGGTAGGCTACAATAATTATATATGAGAATTTAATCGGCGGACATAATGATAAGATCTGACAGGTATAGGAAAAAATGTTATGTCACGAGCTATAATTTCCCCTCATTAACCACTGACAGGTATAACTGTTCGTAATTAACGTAATCGACACTTACAATATTATTAATACATGATGCCGACAGTATATTACATAAGGAATATGACATGGTCTATTATTGGCGAAAGTTGGGCTATTTTCACAAAAAGGAGACTGCTCCACATTCGATCGTCTTTAGAATCAACATTTGCGTGTTGGTTGTTAGTCTTGCAATGAATTTGGGGGGTGTTGCGTGATATTTCAGTTTTTTTCTGTTCTACTGCTTGACTTTTAATAGGGCTTAAAGGTACAAAGGGTTATTAATTTAAGACGTAATGAATCAAAACTCAAATGTTGAATAAATACGTTAATCAAAAATCACAATCGATTTAACGGTTAAAAAAGGGGAAGGAGGAGCATTAAGATGTCATAAAATCATTTTCAACATTTTTCTCTCCCTAAGATCTAGACTGCTGCTTGGACAAGGCAGATACTTCACAACAGAGTAAGAGAAATAAAATGCAGCTATACGTTTGACATTTCTGAAAAAAAGCAAAAAGACATCTCCATTGGGGATCTTTAAGCGGAACGAGATGCGATCTGGACTATTTGTTGCTCTTTTAATCCTTGGAAGGACATATTGGACAAGACTTTGAAAAAGCTAAAGATGCAACAAGGATTGTTTGCGACTTGCGTCTAAATTACCACATTGTGGCCTTGTCTTTAATAATACATTAACATTGAATTTGGACGCAGGAAAATCTTTACAAATTGCCTGTGTTAGTAGCTTTTTGTATCAATAATTGTTCTATAGGAAATTAATCAGTTTTTATTTAACCTAGACACGATATAGAGACATGGAATATCGTATGTTTAAAGAATCGGTTTAGACCACTCTAATTCCACCGTTTAGCTGATACAAAATATTTTTCTTTCCTAATTGACTAGTATTTTATTGATCTGAGTTAAGGTGTTGGAAGACACCCACTAGAGACAGATATTAGCTTTACCAACAATATTCTACTTTAGACGAATTCCAGTCTTGAGAAGCAACTTTCAGTGGCAAGGATCATTCATTCATTCGAAACACGTAAGTACTGTGCAATAACTCTTATCATTTCATTCCATAATTACAGTTCTTGAACCATAATATGCATTTTTTAAGTTAACGTATAATAATGTGAATCTACAATCACCGTAATGGTGTTATTAAGGGTTCAGTGACTTGAATACCATTAATTAATGCAATAAATAAACCAAGTACTAACGATCCAAACCGCAAAAAGATACCCGAAATACAATCAACCTATTGGTGACACAAGCTAATCATTGTAACGCAAGTTATATAAGGAAATATTAATTGTGCCGAGTTCTGTCACCAGAATGATAAGATTTGTATCATGTCCACCTGCGTGTTTTTGAATCAGTATCCGATGAGTACAGCTGTTATAAGTCGGTAATTTTGGACACATGCCGTTAATGTTAATGTCAGCTAATCGGATTTAATCGTAGGTAGACGAGCACCCGCTACAATTTGAACGCAGTTGACAATGCAGCATTAGATTTGTTAACTTCAATAGCGTAATTAATTAAATCAAGACCGACACCCCGTGTGATATAGACAATGCACGCACCTCCATACGTGGAATTCGAAAATTAACCTTCAATTTGAACAAATAAGATGCACAAATGTCGTAAGTTAGTCTCTTCTCTTCGTTTCAGTTTAAATATCTTTTTTCTGAAATTGAGTATACGAGACATGTAGATTGATATAATTCTGAGAGTATTGAAATTATGTTTCATGTGAATACATTTTCTGAATGAAAATGATGAATATCATTATCATGTTCGACAAAGTTACATCAGGCGACGTCTTGCTTAAATCATTTTACTTTTGACCATTACATATGATGTTTTTAGCCTGCTCTCAATAGACCAAGGACAATTTGCGGTTAAGTTATTATCAGGGTCGTAGTATAGGCAAATGTCTCATGGCAAAGAGCCAGACAGAAGAATTGTCCAGAAAGTGGAAGCAAAGATGTTGCTATAAATCAAATTAGTCATGTAATATCAAGTATTAATCATACTCGCTCCCTTTGAAGTCAGAAAGTATAAAACAGAACATAAAATACGTTAGATTGAACTATTAGCACTATTTTCAAATGAAACTCGAGTATTTTTTCTAAGTTATATTATCTAATAACATTTAATTACACTTTCAAGTTTCATCATGAAAGTAATGTGCACCCATGTTTCCATTCCTGCTCTGATATATAAATACCTGAGATGTGGAACTACCAACTACTACGACTACCAACAACTACCTAGTTTGTAATGTCAGCAACCGCTGGAAGCGAACGTTTTCTTATCATCTACCAACCAGTCAATCCGATTGTGGGCAGTTGTACAGCTGTAGAGCTAGAAAATGCTGTACCAGACTGGGGTACTTTATCATTTAATACGACCAGATCTGAAGATTTCTTTGGGTCTAACAAACCAACAACACCAAACCATACAATTAATCCATATCCCAACTACCACGTTAACCAGCAACTGTCTTGTCTGTGATATCAGCTTCTGCTGGAAGCAGACGTTAACTTGTCATCTTCTATGACTACCTGTTTTAGAACAGTACCGGATTACCCAATTGATCCAGATCCAACACCCACGATATCCTACAATTGCCTAGTCTGTGATATCAGCTTCAACTTGTCATCTACCACCTATCAATTAGGAACACTATCAATTAAACCCCATAAGAAATTGATAGTAGCTAATGAGGACGGCAAATCCCACTTATCATGACAATTAGAATGGATGCGGAAGACGTAGATAATTACACAGTGTATTAAATAATAAATGATG